GGCACCGCGTCCCTGCCCCGGGCGCTTTAAAGCCGGTTATGAAGGTTTTAACGCTCTGAACCCCCGTCAGACACCCCCGGGGCCGGATCCTGCACCACGGTCGGCAAACCAAGACAACGCCGCATCTCCCACGGGTGACCGTGCCGGTAACGCGCAGGGCCGCGGAGAGCACGCCACCGCACCGGTGACAAGTCATCTTTATTCAGTCAGTGGCAGATTTTAGCGTGAAATAACACCCAACAGAAGTGCCCCCTGCTGACACACGGCCGCCTCTCACCATTGCGTGCTTATACACTATTAGCAATAAGCTGCTTGCTTTCTTCATTGATTCATACAAGAAAATCATCCATTTTTTCTTTATTCGCATTAAAATACCCTATTTTTATAATACAAAAAAATACTAAGAACATGAATGAAAACAGATAGAACACACAAATCACAGCACTCATCTTTCTCTAGAGAAAGGAAAAATCACCTTCAAAGAAAATTTTAAAATCCCTAGAAGTTACATCTGTTGATTCAGAAATGGCCACCTTAAGGAAAGGGTGAGCTTTGTCGGGGCAGCGTCTTAAAATCGGGTAACTGCATGGCCTTTCCCCCGTCCCAGCAGCCCCCCGTTGCCGACACCCCTCCAGCAGAGGCGCAGGGCCGCGCTGGGACCGGGCGAGCGAGGCACGAGCACCGCAGCCGGGAGGAGAAGGCCGGAGTCACGCTCGGCGCAGGAGCATGCTTGCTTTTGGCTGGGGAGAGGAGGCACGGGTCTTCCTACTGCAAAAAGCTGTGTGCAAGCCAAGGAATCTGCCTGCAGACTGGTATTTCATCTTGTTCTCACTTTCTTGATTTTAGAATTCTTCCTATGCCCACTTTCCCCAGCCTGCGCTCTCCTCTTACACCTGAGGAACTGGGTAAGATGCACAAGCAGCAAGACCACACATATTCTTGCCACGTTCAATAAGGAAGTACCTAAAAAGAGAAAAAAATGTGTATGACTGAGTGTTCCCTACTCCGGCAGCGTCAGCACAACAGATACCGGTGTAAGGCAACTGCTCATTACGTGCAAGCTCCTTTCTCATGCCAGCGCAAGGAGCAAATACCTGTGAGAGCGCTGTTACTGCCAGCAGTTAGCCAGGCAATGCTATTCCCCGTCCCCCTTATATCACAAACTAGCAGAGTTAGCACCTGACTCTGAAAAATTTCACTTGCAGCTGGAAATACCTGCGGAGCTGGAGTGGAAACTCACTCCTAGCACAACCCATTCTTCTCTGGCCGTGTAACCATGGAAGAGGCATGGTGCTCTCCTGGCATCAGGCGAACCAGCGCTACGGCGGCTCTGTGTGCGCTGGCCGAGCCCCTGGTGACAACGGCAGGTCTATTGATCTATGGGTCTGCTCTAACCAGTCACCCCAGGACTGGTTTGTAGAGCCATAGCTCCTTCACTGCCAAGGCTGGGATGATTGCCCCTGCCTCTTCCCAGAGTATGAAAGAGCTGCAAAATTTCAGCTTGAGAGCGTAAGGGTGACCTGGGGGCTGATGAAGGTGGGTGGAATCGCACACACGTGATTGTCCTTTTACTAGGTACAGGGAGACCGTGGTGGGTTCGACAGCTTTGGGACCTCCTTACCCATCCATGCCCCACCGCGGGCCCCAGGAGTTCTTCACAATCCAGTAAGGAGTCCCATTTTCTTCTCCATACCCCACAGCGAGGACAGCGTGGTTCACCTTGTCAGGAGTGTGCTCACATCGTGGGCTGCAAAGAAAAGGAAAAATAATGCAGATTTGTTACATGAAAAAACAGCCTATAATTAATCGTGGATTAGCCAGCATTCTTGATTGCAGTCCAACTGCAAAAAGAACTAATGGATATTCTGAACTTCCAGTTGTGGAGAGTAGGGAGGGAAGCCAAGAAAAGGAGATACTGCTCTGTTTTCTCACTCAGAAATTACTGGCCATATCTGAAGTCAGGGTGATAGGCTATATGGACCTTTGATCTAAGCACCTGGTCTGGCCTCTTGTTCAGAATTAACACCAACATTGTCACACAAGAATGAGATACAATGAAGAAACTGAGCAAAGGAATTTTTCCAATGAAAACCAGAAGCTCTTAGTGCATCCCAGTAATGGTTTGTTCTACCCCAAAGTTCAGGGGTATTGTTCCGCATTTTGCACAGGCAACAGCGAATTCCTCAGTCTAAATACACATTTCTTTGTATTTCCTCTCAATTTCCAGCTAGTAAATCGCACTTGATGAAAATTGCTGCCTGCGATATAAAACAACACAACACAAGGTACAAGCTCCCATCTCTCGAGCACCTATTTTTAAACATGGTCAAATTGCAGATAACTAAAAGATCAATAATCCCCACAACAGATTTACTTTTCTTGAATCTGTTGGTCTGGGGAGCATAGGCTGAAACCACTGGAGCATCCATTATTCCATACGCTCTGACTTTAAATCTACTTTAGACTATAAATCTACAAGATAACTTCGCTTGGCGTGTTCCTCAGACTGGAATCCTATTACAAAGTGTCTTGACCTGCTTTCACAACTTACATCTGCCTGTTGCTGGCAGTTAACTTTGAAATCACTGTCTTTATTGCAACAGCAAAGCCACCTGAATTCGCGGAGCTGCCTGCTCTTTC